CCAATTTTACTACCGCGAAACAGCCACATTACTAAACTAATAATTTTAAATCAACACATAAAAAATTGGCACGCAGGTGTGCAAGGTACGCTAAACGCGGTTAGAAACAATTATTGGCCAATTGATGGAAAGAATAGTACGCGACACATTGTTCGGAAATGCGTGCGTTGTTATAAAGTAAATCCCAAGCTACCAACATATGTAATGGGTGATTTGCCCAAAAATCGAATCACTCAGTCACGCCCATTCGAATGCGTTGGAATCGATTATTGTGGTCCGTTTTTTCTGAAAGAAAAGAAATTTCGCAATAAGGGAAAATTAAAATGTTACGTATCAGTTTTCGTTTGTTTTGCAACTAGAGCTGTTCACATGGAGCTAGTGACAGATCTAACGACTGAAACTTGTTTAGAAGCTATTAGACGTTTTTGTGCTCGAAGAGGAAAGCCCTCTCACATCTATTCAGATAACGCTACGAATTTTGTTGGGGTAAAAAATGAAATTCTAAAGATTAGAGCATTTTTCTTGTCAGAAGAAAATCAATCCATATTAAAGAATAGTTTATTAAATGAGGAAATTAATTGGCATTTCATTCCTCCTCGATCGCCGCATTTTGGAGGCCTGTGGGAGGCAGCGGTTAAGTCTTTTAAACAACATCTATATCGCACTGTTGGTGACACTATGTTCATATACGAACAATTCAATACATTTGTAATTGAGATTGAATCAATTCTAAACTCCAGACCCTTAACCCCACTCTCCTGCGATCCAAATGACCTCACAGCCTTGACTCCCGCACATTTTTTAATTGGAAGAGTTCTTACAAATATACCGGAAACCGACCTCCGGAATGTAACAACAAATAGGTTGTCAATGTGGCAGCACATACACAAAATAAAGCAACATTTTTGGCAACGATGGCATAAAGAATATTTAAATGAGTTACGCACTCGAAGCAAATGGCATCAAGGAACTGGCGCAAAAATCACAGTTGGGAAACTGGTAATGATCAAAGAGGACAATCTTCCGCCGATGCATTGGAGCATTGGTCGCATCATCGCGGTCCATCCAGGACAAGATAGTGTAATCCGTGTAGCAACTATAAAGACACCGTGCGGAGTGTATAAACGTTGTGTAAATAAACTTGCGCCACTACCAATTGATACACCGACAGACAATGCGTTGGTGACATATAAAGTGTTATAGGATAAGATAAACACAATGTATCCAATTACAAGCATAATCTAGTTAATAAGTCATTTATAGAAGTAAAATTAGAAGTTTCCTCCGCTAGTAAACAATTGATAAGATATATATTATAGTTCATTCAATAGCTGTAGAATTTAAATCAATTTTCTTAGCGTTTTTGTCTTAAGTCCGTTTGATATTCACAGTAAACATGTTGTATGACTAGTTTTAAGTTGTATCGAAGTTAAGGAACTCCAGTGTAATCAAATTCAATTGAACGCACTCGTTCAAGGCGGGCGGCGTGTTACTGCGTAACAAATATTATACAAATTTGTAAGTCGTTAAAATGACCTGTGACCTCTCAAGGTAACAAAAATTAACCATCCAGGTAGGGTAATTGAAAAACATATTTCGACGAAACCTTCTAAAATCATAAAGTCAAAAAGTTCAATAATATACATGATTACCCGTACAGATGCCATAAAAAAGGTCACCGGTTTACACACCTAGGAAAGTTAAAAAATTTACAATCTCAACCGCCCTAAACATAGAAGCTCCAGAGAACTTACCTGAGGCTAACGGTAGTCCCCGCCAAATGTATGTCATTTCCCCAAACTCAAGAAAATTTCGAATCACCAATCAGAACCGTTGTTAGAAAAAGCCCCCACTATAAGAACAAGTTAATGTCGACAAAAAATTTTGCGAGAAAGCTCAGATACAAACATATCAGCATACGAATAACATTAAAATAATCTTCTACGTGCTGTCCGATAAAATTCACAAACTTATACTTTAAAATATTCATAGTTGTATTAGTAAATATAATAAGTGTTACATGGAACTTTATCATAGTATTCATTATCCAACATTTTCAAATATTCACTCGCCGTGAAGTCTGCGTGTGAAGTGAGCATTTTCGAAAGTAACTTTCAATATAAAAAATAACTATTTTGCTCACGAGTCAACAATATGCCTCACTCAGTTTATAATCAACGATACTAACGAGACCATATCTAATCCTCGAGAAATTGCAGATATACTAGCATCGACGTTCCCAAAAAACTCCATTACCTCGAATTACCCAGAAGAGTTCAAACAAAATATACTAAACCAAGAAGAAAAGGAAATCGCCGAAACCAATGCCTACAACTGTGCATACCTTAAAACCCCTATCTCAGAAAAGAAACTAGATGAAGTAGTTAAAACAGCTAAAAACCCTTTCCAGACAATATTCCTAACGATTTAATCAAGAATTTACCTCCCGTTAGAAATAAAATACTTCTCGAACTATTCAACACCATATGGACAAACAAAATCTTTCCAAAAAAATGGAACACAGCTATTGTTATTCCAATTCCCAAACCCGGGAAGGACCCCGCCAAACCCGACAGCTATAGACCAATTGCTCTTACATGCAACATGTGTAAAATTCTGGAAAAAATCATCAACGCCCGACTAAGATGATTCCTTGAACATAATAAAATTATTGCGCACAACCAATTCGGATTTCGCACAGGACACTCCACCACATCACACCTAGTTAGTTTGGAAACCCACATTTGCGAAGCATTCACCAACAATCAACATGTCCCAGCCGTGAGCCCAGATATAGAAAAAGCCTACGATATGGTTTGGAGACGCTGAATCCTAACCAAGCTCCAAGAGATGGGAATTTGTGGCAACACGTTGCATTCTATTAAAAATTTCCTCCACGACAGAAGCATCCAAGTTCGTTTTAAAAACTATTTATCAAGTGAAACATCAATCGAAAATGGAGTCCCACAAGGTTCAGTACTGAGTATCACGTTATTTTTAATAGCCATAAACGACGTCTGTAAAATCACCGAACTTCCCGTCATTACTAGAGTGTTCGCTGATGACATCACCATCCTACACAAAGGTAAATTTGTAAACACATTACAATACCTTATACAAAAGGCTCTCAACATGCTGCACGACTGGTCCATAATCAATGGGTTTAAATTCTCACCTACCAAGACGGAATGCATTCTTTTTTCTGATCATTACCAAACTCATACGCCTACACTGAAACTAAGAACAAACATATTACGATCTGTTGCATGCACTAAAATCCTTGGTGTTCTCCTCGACTCTAGACTAACTTGGAACTAACACATAGGCAAACTAGCCGATAACTGTAAACAGAGAATCAAAAAAATTAAATCACTCGCACATAATAATTGGGGAGCAGACAAAACGGTCCTATCTCTAGTGTACAAAGCGATTATACGGTCTAAATTGGATTAGTATTTAACTCTGCTAAACCAAGTATATTAAAAAAGCTTGATGTAATCCACAATACCGCGATCAGAATAATAACAGGAGAATATAGAAGAAACATCCTTAGAATATAGAAGAAAGCTTTTAAGTTTAAAGTATGCAGTACGAGCGTCAACATCTACCAACCCGATTATCTACATTACACAAACCCAAACACCAAACTAGTAACATTCCCTTATATCAAATAATTAAAAACTATTTTAACGAACTGCAATACAACCCACCAAGCACAGAAAAAACTAGATTCCATAAAGCACCCCCATGGACACTGAAGACACCCAATATCGATCACTTACTTATAGAAAAGAAAAAGACAGAAGTAACTACACAGGAATGGAAAGAGCGATGTGCCAAATATGTGCCAAATATCCTGGATATACCCTGATATACCCATTTCTATATCGATGGCTCCAAGAGCAATCTTGGAACAGGTGCAGCTGTATACACGCAAAGTACAACAATCAAACACGGAATGAACCCTTTCAATAGTATCCGCACAGCCGAAAATTATGCGCTCCTTTCAGCTCTTGAATTCATTGATAAATCTCCTCATTCTACATTCATCATATTCTCCGATTCCTTCTCCACTATCCTAAAGACCCAAAACCTGAGGGAGACCATCCACACAATAATACAAGAACAATACGACAAATTAACTACACATGGGAAGAAAATAACGATAGCATGGGTCCCTTCCCACAAGGACATCCACGGGAATGTCATGGCCGACTTCGAAGCAAAAATTGCAGCAACACTACACCCGGATAATCAACCTCTTTACAAAACCTCTCTGGACATCGGCCACGGTAGGGTGGTTAAACGTACACATCAACATGATCCGAGTGAGTCCTACATTCTCAACTCGATCATCGTGAATAATCTCACGCAACGTGAATTATCACTCAAAACGAACAACGCTGAGCGAGACTCTGTTCTCCTCAAATCGAACGACATTGAGCGAGACCTTGTTCTCCTCAAAACGATTCTCATTCAATACGCAATCAACACAACGTACACATACTCGTACACATTTTCACCGTAGAGTCATTAACGAAACATATTTTTGTAAGGGGTTTTTTATGTCGCAAGGCTTTTTCCCCTAATTCGAATCGCTAGAGCCAATAAATGATCACGATTTTTCAGACTCAATTGTGTCAAAACAATTTTTATTTACCCTCTTCCTCAATCGAATTCATATATTCCTTGAAACACGAAATTTCTCCATGTTGGATAGATTTCGACGATACATAGATTCCATAAAGCACCTTCATGGACACTGAGGACACCCAATATTGATCTATCGCTTATAGAAAAGAAAAAGACAGAACTAACTACACAGGAATGGAAAGAGCGATTTAACATCCTATGTGCCAAATATCCTGGATATACCCATGTCTATATCGATGGCTCCAAGAGCGATCTTGGAACAGGTGCAGCTGTATTCACGCAAAGTACAACAATCAAACACGGAATGAATCCTTTCAATAGCATCCACACAGCCCAAAATTACGCGCTCCTTTCAGCTCTTGAATTCATTGATAAATCTCCTCATTCCACATTCATCATATTCTCCGATTCCCTCTCCACTATCCTAAAGACCCAAAACCTGAGGCAGACCATCCACACAACAATACAAGAACAATACGACAAATTAACTACACATGGGAAGAAAATAACGATAGCGTGGGTCCCTTCCTACAAGGACATCCACGGCAATGTCATGGCCGACTTCGAAGCAAAAATTGCAGCAACACTACACTCTTTTAGCAAACACCCTATAATTTTTAGCAAACATTTTTTACACCCTATAATCAACCTTTTTGCAAAACATCTCTGGACATCAATAAACCCTTAAAGTCATTATGGAAACAGTCATGGAATCGAGCATGGAAAAAGTACAAAGCAAGCACACTTCACAAATCAACGAACAGTTTCTACAACCTCAAAACAAATTCCAGTTTCAACAGGAGACAACAAACAGCAATAACTAGAATCAGAATTGGTCATACCAAACTGACACATTCGAATATTCTAAACAACAGTCCCCCCATTCTATGCGAATCATGTAATAAACCTATAAGTATTAATCACATTATACTAGACTGCAGGAAATACCACGAAGAACGTAGAAAATTTAACATCAAGGACGACCTCTCAGAAGCAATCACTTCTACATCATATCAAGGCATCCTAATTACATTCTGCAAGACGATCGGAATCCTTAGCATGATATAAAACTCTATAGAACCTGGAACCTTCTCCTAAATTAATCAACTAAAGACATTAAGTATCTAAATCAGTCGATAGTCGCTAATGACCTTTGATGTTGATGTGACTCTAAGCTCTAAACAAAAAAAAAAGAATTGCAAGTTCATTACTTTTCTCTTAGTTATATAAATAAACTCACAGAAATTTTATTATTTAAACAAAGAATTTTACACAAAATGTTATTTTGACAATAATAAAAATTAATGCAAAACAAATAAGGATTATATTTCTATTTAATAAAAAATTGTTCGAAACAAGGTACCATAAACAGTCGCATTTCGCAGATCAAAGTATCGCGACTCATGGATTTCATTTTTGTAGCTGACAGCACATCGAAGTGAATTTGCTTTTGATGATGCAACTGGTATAAAATTGTGTAAACGTTATTTTTATAAAATACATAACAGTTTTTTCGTAATATAGAGGAAACATGCCATCAAATAACCTTT